GACGCTGTCAGAAAAATGGATAAACACATTTTCAAATAATTCACAGAAAATAGAAATATCAAATAGCATTAAAAGATAGTCCATTGTATTTATAATCCAAAAGATGTGAATTAAAATGAGATTCCCTTTCGGGGCAACTGGGTGGCTCAGTCGGTTAAACGTCTGACTTTGGCTCAGTTCACGGTCTCACGGTTTGTAAGTTCAAGCCCTGCATGGGGCTCTGTGCTGACGGCTCAGAGCCTGGAGCCTGCTTCGGATTCTGTGTCTCCCTCTCTCCCTCTGACTCTCCCCTGCTCATGCTCTGTCTCTCAAAAATGAATAAATGTTAACTAAATTTTTTTTAATGAGATCCCCTTTCATCTATAATTGATTAACTCATTTAACAAATATTTGCGGAGTGGTCACTATGTTCCAAACACTATAAGTTTGGCAAATATTTTTTTAAACGGTAGTAATTTTAGGATTCAGTAAAATTAATACCATCACACATTGTGAAAAACAATTTTATGATATGCATCAAGAACCATAAAATAGTTCCTATCCTGTGACCTAGTAATTAAACTTCTTGGAATTTATCCTAGGGAAGTAATCAGTGTAGCAGACAAAGATTAATGTATGAGGATGTTAATCATAGCATAATTTATAATACCAACACATTAGAAATCTAAATGTCCAACAATAGGAGTGATTAAATAAATTATGGTACATTCAAATGATGAATGATTATGCATACATTAAAATTATGTTTTCAAAGACCATTTAGTGACATAGGGAAATGCTTACTAAAACTTTTAAAACCTATATTTTAAAAATAATTTCATATAGCCAGTTATAATGATCCATTCTTTCTTGCCTCATGAGACAGAAGTTTCTCCATATAAATCTTAGTTCTGGTAGGTATTAAAATAGAAGGTCTCGCATGTTCACTGCAGCATTATTTACAATAGCCAAGATATGGAAACAACATAGGTGGTGGTGTATATATTTACACAATGGAATACTATTTAGCTCTAAGAAAGAAGGAAATCCTGCCGTTTGCAACAACCTGGATGGACCCTGAGGGCATTATGCTCAGTTACATAAGTCAGATAAAGACAAATATCATATGATCTCTTACATGTGGAATCTAAAAATGTGGAACTCATAGAAACAGTGTAAGTATGGTTGCCAGGGGTTGGGGGTGGGAAAAATAAGAAGATGTTGGTCAAAGGATACAAATGTACGGTTATAAGATTAACAAGTTCCAGGGATCTAATGTATAGAGTGGTGAATATAGCTAATAATACTGTATCATATACTTGAATGTTGCCAAGAGAGTATACCTTAAACGTTCCCAGCAAATAAGAAATAATGATGCAATGAGATGAAGCTAATGGTTGGTGGTAATCATTTCGCAACACACAAATGTGCCAAATCAACACATTATACACCTTAAACTTATACAGTGTTATGTGTCAATTATATCTCAATAAAGTTTGGGGGAAAATAAAATTAAAAAAATTTTCAGACACAAAAAACAGAAATTGCTACATGGGATCAGAAAAGCAATATGGTTTAATACAAGTTAAACATATGCAAAGCACTGAAGAATGTCCTAGATTGCAGGTAGTGACTATTCTATAGAAAGAGGGGAATAAATGGGAGAAGGGACAGGAAGAAAGCAAAATATAAAAGAACAAGACCACAGCAGAAAGAAGAGACAGAAATGCGTAAGGAGAACATGTGGAGGACAGAAAATCAAAAAGGACACATAGCTGAATTTTAAGGAAATTCTCTGCACACACCATAGTATTAGAACTTAAGAAATTCCCTTTTTGATGTATTTATAGTATTATGTAGATCAGACAAGACACTTACAAGAAGCATTATTTGTTTCTTGTAACACCAACCACAGGAAGGGCCAAAAAGGATGTCATGGCAGAAAAGCAGAACTACCTCACTACCATGAAAAGAATAACAACAAAAATTGAAAGTCTCAGTGCACCAAAATAAACTGTCTGTACAAAAGATGATTATAGTAAAACAAGGAGGAAGTTGAACCTTGGTTTTAGAATTACTGAACTGTGCAAAGGCAGAAACCAATCTGCATGGTCATCAGTGTTCAGGAGACAAATAATTCCATGTCCACAATGAAAGCAGTGAAACCTGGGCTCCACCAAACCCTTGGAGCACAGCTACATGGCTCCTCCTGAAGCCAAGTATACACCCCCTGCTCTTTGCATTTGTGCTTCGGTGAGGGAGCTGTTTGGGTAACAGATTCATAATGCACTTAACCAAATATAACATCCAAGCCTAGAGAAAGCTGAAGGAGTCACTTGTGGAAAGATCAAAAGAGCACAGAGGATTCTCTTCTATGAGTGAAAACTGAATTTTTCATTAAAAGATGGTGGGAAGAGTCACCCAAGAGAATGCATTTAAAAGTAATAAGGTAACAATGTTCTGCGTCACTGTAACTAAATAAGAGGTCAGTTGCGTAACCCGACACTGTCAGTTGCACATACCCCGTTCCATATATTTTGCCATTACTACCCCGTTTTGAGTTCCTAGAAGAATGTGCATGGACTCTCGTTTCATATTTACTCCTAACAATTTAATCACAAGGCTTAGAGTGTTCAGCAATTCAGAATCTCCTTCCCTTTACCCCTCTGATGTACTCCCTCTTCCTGAAATCTGGCTTCATTTATGTACATCCACACTGTACCATCCTGGTTCTGCAAACTATTGCTTTTTCAACGTTTTGGTTTTGTGAAATTGAGAAACCTCTACATATCCATGCAAGCCATTTTCACATCTGTAATTTTATCTCTTTGTTTCAGTAAGTTGTTTTTATCCCTTTGTTCCCTTTTTTTTTTTTTTTTTTTTTTTTTTACTACTTCTGAACTCCCACTTTTGGACAACTCCACCATAATTTTTGAATCTAAGCTATTCTCTTCAAGAACTATCATAAACTTAAATCCATCAAGACCATTGACCCTTGCACCATCTTCGCTTTTAAATTGTTTGTATTTTGTGTCATTACCTTTCAATCTGTGACTAGCTCTTGCATTCTTTATTCTCATTCTTCATTCTTTTCAACATCCCCCATAGCCTGTTTTTAAAATTTGTATTCTCTACTCTTATACTTAGTCTGTTTAAAAATGAACTGACCTAGAAAAGTCTCTTCTTGACCTTGACATTTTTACTACTACACACATTATACTGGTAATCTGAGGCTGCATTTTTAAACCTCCTCTTCATGGATCTGGGTGATTGGTTCAAACATCTGCCATTCTACTGGTTCCAAGGCTGCCTTAGCTGGTCTGGTTGTTCATTTCCCATTGAAAGGCTGCAAGGTCAGGACTTGTTCGTGTGACTGCTCACTCGGGCAGAGGGGACATCCTCTCCAGACAGAGCAAAATTAGCCTTCAGTCAAGAGCACATGGGTGGCTGGACTCCTCTACTTCCTTCTTCTAAAATTTTCACTGCTCACTCTGGCCCATTCTTCCTTGTTGTTTTCCTTCCACCATGCTACAGTTTGTGAAATAACTCCTTGCCCATGTCCATGTTGGGCCATCAGGTTTCTCTATTCATTCTAGTAGCCAATTTGATTTTCATTCTCAGCCTGTGATTTTTTTTCTTTCCATTCACATTCAATCTTTAGTCACTCCTTTTCTAGACTGACTCAATTCCTATCATCTGAATTTCTCTTTCTCTCAAAAACACCTTTTCCACATCCTAAACCTCTGTGTTCTACTTCCTTCAACTTGCCCTTCATTCTGTCCTTCATCCTTCAATACCTAAAATCCTCTTTTGTCTTTCTAGCTATAATCTATCTGCCCTTACCTGTTTGCATTCTATATATGCATTTTACTATACTATGAGAGACCCAAAAATCTTGTCAGTGATTGAAATGTATTAAAAAAAAAAAACAGAGCAACCTCTTTTGTTAATATATCCTAGAATGTGACACCTTCCCAGAATCTTTTGTAAAAGTTATACTCAAGTTTACGTATATTAGATAGTTATACAAAGAAGGGCAAGAAGTGTCTAAAGAGCAATGTTTCAACACCTTAAAATTACATAGTGCTGTATATGTCAATTATATCTCAATAAAACTGGAAAAATAAAAAAAATAAAAATAAATAAATGTACTCAGGATCTTACTTTATATCTACCAATGTCTGTTCAATTAACTGTTAAGATGTATGGGAAGAAGGAAGAGGGAGAGGTTGACAATGTGAGAAAATGACCGGAGAGAAAGACTGGGAAAGTCCAGAAAGTTTGGACTTTAACCTGTAAAAAAAAAAAAAAAAAAAAAAAAAAAAAAAAAAAAAAAAAAAAGAAGCTACTATGGAAAAAATCAAATTGGCATTATGCATTCAATATTTTTAACTTTTAAACAAATCTGTGTTAGAAGATGCAAATTTCAAGTTGATCTTCATGTTAATAAAATTAAATTCATCAAACAACACATACTAAGCACCTATTTTCATGAGGTACTATAAAATGAAAATAGTTCCTCTAAAAGAATTTAAAATTTAGCCCAATATCTGTTAGAAGTCCAATGGAAACTAATTACAGGCTGATACTTACAGCTTCTGTATGAAACATGCCGACCTACAACTCCAAGAGGCCAAAAGCCATCCTCAAGGTTTATCCTGATTAGACCTGAACATACCCCCTTCCTTCACACTCTCTATCTTCTCAGCCTCTCCTCCTCTCTCCTTCAAACTTCCATTAGTTGCCATGGTTTTCCTATTTTTCAGGCTCTGACCTGGGACTGTTTCCTCCCTCCTGGCCCAGCAGTTTTTGGTGGCAAGTATCATTTTCTTGTAGATCAGCCCCTAGCATAACTCCCGGAACACAACTGGGCATTCTGAGAGCATTTCCTTCTCCTTGGCCCAGAACAAGGGGGCAGGTGCTGAAGAAATAAGGGACCAGAACATGAAAATATAACAAGCCATGGCACAAAACACAACTGTTAAGATTAACAAAATAATATTGGACATAAAATGTGATACCTGATGGGCCAGAATATAGATATTGTGTCCAACATCTTTTGGGGAAACACCGTCATCTCCTCCATCATCATCCCCATGGTCACATTCCAATCCTTGGTTATAGGCGTTCTTCATCACATCCACCTATCAAAAAAACAAATAGGAAGAACAGGCATTTTACGTTGTCTATGAGGTATAATGAAAAACTGGAACACTTCT